GGGGGAGGTTTTCAGAGCCTAGCCAGAGGAGTCCAAATCCGGGCTACTTTATTTTTTTGAGCTTCGGTTGTCAAGGGGTGCCGAGGGTGGGGAGGGGGGGGGGAAATAAATTAGTTTTTAAGGGGCTGAAGGGATTTTATAAGGGGGGTGCCTTAGTCTGATTCTGTTTTTTTTTTTTTTTATCTTTGTTTCCGTGACGAATTCTGATGTGTGTAGAGCAGGACACCCTGGCCGTCCCTAATTTTTGTGACTATTGATGTATTTGCCCTTGGGCACTGGGCCCTGTTAATAGAGGTGCAATTTCGGGCTAAAGAAAAAAAAAAAAAGATAAGATCCCAAAAAAGAAAAAGTCCTTTGTTTTGCAATTCCACACAACATTTTTTTTCTGGAATTTTCTGAATCTGTTTCTTTTTTTTTTTTTTTGGACGCTAGAGCTGCCCGGGACCCTGCCCAGGGTTCATGCCCAGCCGGGCACCCCGGGCGTGTATCCGGGCACGAGTTGAGTGTCAGGGCGCCCGGACGAACAGCCTAGTCAAACTGGATAAACTTGGATTTGACGTGACCAAAGAGAGGATAAGCATATATATCACGTGGCCAAAAAGTGGATAAGCATGGATGTCACGTGGCGTCAGAAGTGGATAAGCATGGATGTGGCGTGGTCAAAAAGTGGATAAGAAGCGGATAAACATGGATGTGACGTGGCCAAAAAGTGGGTTAAACATGGATGTGACGTGGCCAAAAAGTGCATGAGCATGGATATGACGTGGCCAAAAAGTGGATAAGCATGGATGTCACGTGGCCAAAAAGTGGATAAAAGCGTGGATAAGGCCTTTAAAAAAAAAAAAAAACGAGAATCTCGGGAAGTGTGATTCCACCCCTTTAAGTTCTCAACCCTAAAGATATAGGCATGAATGAATGTGGCCGCAAAAAGTGGACAAAAGCATGAATGAAGGAAAAACACTGGATAAGCTTGAGCGAAGAGTGGTTTTCAAATGTGGCGGTGGTAGGCTATGTGCATTGTGGTGGGACGCTTTAGTGCCCTTGCACAATGACAGGTCGTGGTAGTACGATAGATGGCAGGATTTTACAGAATTGAAAAAAAAAAAACAAAAAAAAAACTGGATAAGCACGGATGTGACTAAGAAGTGGATAAGCATGAATGTAGCCCAAAAGTGAATAAAAGTGGATGTAGCCCAAAAGGCAAAGGCACACAAAAAAAATAGTAACGCCGGAAAATGTGTGTGCGAGAGAGAGGGAGAGAGAGAGAGAGAGAGGATAAGCAGCACTAGAGGGAGATGGAGAGACAGAGGAAGAAGCTGAAAGACAGGAGCAGCAGATAAAGGAGAAAGAGAGTAGGGGAGGTGAAGAGAGAGAGACAGACAGAAGGTGGTCAGAGGAAGCACGTGAAAACAAATGAGGAACAGTACGGGGAAGGAGAAGAGGAGAGAGTAGGAGCAGGCGATGGCAGAGGAGGAGGTAAGAGGAGGAGAGGGGGGAAGAGACGGAGGAGGGAGGAGGAAGGGGGGCAAAGTAAAGAGGGAGGAGGGTGGAGGGAAGAGGGAGGAGGGAAGAGGGAAGAGAGAAGAGGGAAGAGGGAAGAGGGAGGAGGGAGGAGGGARGAGGGAAGAGGGAAGAGGGAGGAGGGAGGAGGGAAGAAGGAGGAGGGAGGAGGGAAGAGGGAAAAGGGAAGAGGGAGGAGGGAGGAGGGAGGAGAGAGGAGCAAGAGAGGGGAGAGGAGGACAAAGGAGGAGAGGAGGGAATAAAAGACGGAGGAGGGAGGGAGGAGGGAGGAGGGTAGAGAGGCAAGAGAGGGAGGAGGGGGGACGGAAGAGGGACGAGGGAGAAGGGAGCAGGGAAAAGGGAGGAGGGAAGAGGGACGAGGGAGAAGGGAGCAGGGAAAAGGGAGGAGGGAGGAGGGAGGAGGGAAGAGGGAAGAGGAAGGAGGGAGGAGAAAGGAGGGAGGAGAACGTCGACGACGAAATTCACTGCGTGCTGAATAAATTCTAGGTTCACAGTTTTCGGGGTTCTGAAAGAAAGAGAGAGGGAGAGGGGGGGGGGGGGGGAGACAGAGAGAGAGAAACAAGCTAGCTTTTTTTTTTTTTCAAGGAACACGATGGCTTTATTTCATTCGAATACAGACAAAAGTAGACAACATTTTTAACGAAAAAAATGAAAATCCACTTGTTTGCCCAATTAATTTTCTTATACGCGCCCTTAAGGAATTCTTTTTTCTTCTTTTTTTTTAGGAGGGGGGTGCGGGAGAGCGGGAGGGCAGAAAAAAGGACTTTAAGGAAGACTTATCTTGGCCTTTTGTAATCATAGCCCCCGGAAGGCTTTTTTCATTTATTTAATAACAGAATTCTTTTTCAGTTTCCCGTTTCTGTTCTGCTACCTTTTTTTTTTTTTTTTTTTTTTTTTTTTTGCCGCTCAACCGTTCTCTTCGTATCAGAGGGTTTTTTTTTTTGATACGTCAATGCGCAGGAGGGAAGGGAGAAAGCAGTAAAAGACTAGGCTACCAGCCGGGCCGCCCGGGTCACCCTATTTTCCCGGGCGGCCCGGCCGTGCAAGGACTAGGGAAGGTCCCAGCCAAGAAAAAAAAAAAAACCCAAAAAATCCGGAAAAAAACTATGTTATGCAGAAAACCACACTAAACAACTTTTGCCTCAGGGTCACATCGAAATTCCTTGCCGAATTTCAATTAAAAATTTAATTTACTCTTTTTTTTTTGGCCCGGCCGGGCAAGTGGACCCGGGCCACTCTGGTAACCTAGTTAAAAGATTCAAAAAAAAAAACAGTGAAAGACAAGCCATGGCGAACTCTTACTTTCCGTAACAGGAAATCGTTTTTTTTTCTTTTTTCGGCTTTTTTCTTTTAACAGGAAATCATTTTCGATGGAAAAGCTGTACACGAAATCCCACGGGTCCAATCTCTACTCAGCCCGCTGCGCGCCATTCTTCCTCAGCGGGGGATACCACGTGTCACGCCAACCGTCTTCCCCCGAACATAACGCACCCTCATCTTTTGACTGTATCGGAGCGGAAAGATGACTTGTATACATTCATTATCAGGTTGCGTTATGTTCGGAGAAAGACGGTAGGTAGCGGGCATCACGTGTCCCTATTGACACGTGGCTGAATATTGCTATTTCCTTTTTTTTTTTTCTTCCTACACTGATTCGTGTACGGAAGCAAGTGTACGGCCACTGCTTTTCCTCTCTTCTTATTTCCTTAAAAAAAAGGAAAAATCCTTGGTACTGTGCGCGGCTTTTTATTTTTCCCCCAAAAAATATTAATATTATATTACACAAGCTGGAGATCGGGTCCGGCGTCCCTCACAAGACAGAGGCACCCTTTTCGGTATGATCCCGAAACTCCGACCAGGTTCATACCGAGGTTGCGCAGTTCACACGAACATGCGTGTTTTTTTTTTTTTTTTTTCCGTGAGTTCAATGCATGAGGACTTGTAAATACTTGTTCGCCCTCAGGGCAGCGGTCCGGATTTGGCCATTTCCCGACGCCTGAAATTGTTTGCTTGCTGGGGTATAACGCCTCTAGGCTTCCCTTCCTCCGGGTTGTTTGTTGAGGATTCCCGGCCTCAGGTTAAATGTTTCTGAAGTAATATGAAGCCCTCAGGGCGCTTTTTTTGTAAAAAAAAAAAAAAAAAAAAACTTGGGCGAATGTTTCTGAAGTAATATGAAGCCCTCAGGGCCCTAATTTTGTAAAAAAAAAAAACAAAAAAAAAAAAAACAACTTGTTCGCCCAACGCCTAAACCTAAACTGGGTAATGGCCCCAGATGGTTCAGGGTTCGACACTCCGGGTAGTGTTCGTTGAGGATCCCCGGCCTCTTACTCTTTGTAATGGAATGATCTCGTCCTTTTGTTAAAAATAAAAGTGAAAATAAAAAAACTTGTTCGTTGGAAGCCTGTATGCAGAGCAATTTCGGGGCTCTGTTCAATCACTTTCATATCACTTGCCCTCTTTCTTCGGTCGGTATGGCACCACGGGTTGCCCCGACACGGGTTGGTAAATGGAATATAAATGTTGGGAGTTTCTATGAGAGAAGCGCAGAGGGGAGAGAGAGAGAGAGAGAGAGAGAGAGAGAGAGAGAGAGAGAGAGAGAGAGAGAGAGAGTAGTGATTATCGACCGCGTTCCGTTTCCGCGGTTCTCCTGGGTCATACCTACACATCTCGCATAAATTTGTGTTTTTATTTTTGTTTTTTTTTTTAACATGGACTTCAATCTCGATCGCATGTGTGTCTCATCTCATGTGTGTCTCACCTTCGATTCTTGATTGTTTGTGTGTTCACTCACCTCTTAAGAGAGTAGGGAGGTAGGTTTTTTTTTTTAAACAGGAAATCATTTTGCATGGAAAAGGCGAAAGCATTTGAGAAAAGAAGACAGTGTAGTTTCGCAGAAAATAAGAAAGAAAAAACAGATGAAGACGGACATCACACCTTCTTCTCCGTCTGATGTGGCGATTAGGCAGAAGTGGCCACGTGGCACACCCAGAACACGCCGCGCTGCTGAGCGTGTCAGACCCTTTCACAGCTTCCAAGCACCGTTCAGACGGCGAAGCCGAAGAAGCCGGGCATACTGCGCGCCAAGCTACGCCCTTGCATCGCGAGTCCGCCGCCGAAAGCGCCGATGACGTGGCAGCAACTGCAGCGGGCAGCGGCCTGGCGGCCGCCGCGTGGACGGCGGCGGCGGCGGCGGCGGCGGCGCTGCTGGTCATCTTCACCGTCCACTCCTCCCTCCTCCTCCTCCTCCTACTGCTTTAGCCCAAGATCACACTTGCGCAAATTAGGAGATTGCAGTCGTTGATCTTTGCTATCTACGGTCAGTATCTCTTAATTCGTGCAAGTGGGACCTAGCCCTCAGTAGTTCTTAACCCAGAAAACGACGACGACGACTCAGTAATTGCACCTCTTCTCTCCTCCTCTCCTTCACTTCCTCATCCTCCCTTCTCCTCCCTTCGCCTCTCCTCCTTCCCACAGAGTTGCCTTCTCTCTCTCTCTCTCTCTCTCTCTCTCTCTCTCTCTCTCTCTCTCACACACACACGCCGAGGCTATAATCAAGATGGGCCCAAGACCGACCCGGTGTGTCGTTTGCGCCGTCGTTTGACACGTGTACTACCACCTCAGAAACAACGTTGCCACGTCAGCTCCTCTTCCAGTGCGCCTGGCTGGTCGGCCGAGAGGCAATACCGTCTGTTGCCTGCCGTAATTACACGGCGGCTGGCTCGCGCGCAGACCTGGCGGGGGCGGGAGACACTTGGCCGAGTCACATCCATGCGGGCGCACATTTTTTGGCTCCAGCCCCCCGCCAAAACACGCAGCCCGCGGAGGCGAGTTCCGCCTGCATCGATGGAACCAACGAAAAACAGCCGTCCGATCTGATCGTGCGCCCGATCTTCAGCCGAAGCTCAGCCTCGCCGTCCCACCTGCAAGGGAAGGAATTTTTTTTTTTTTCGTAAAGATTTTCTCCTTTCTCTTTCTATTTTATCGAAGGACTGTTGAAATACCCCTGAAACTTTGGATATTTCCTTAGATACCCTAAAACACAGAGGTACGCTGAAATGCCCCAAACTTTGCATCTGCCCGTGTCCCGCTCATAGGCAACGTCGCCGTATGCGCTGGCGCTGGGCTGCAGGGGCCTGTGCACTTCTTTTGCAATCTGCAGGGTGCAACGGCCTAAAATACTGGGGCAGTCCAGCTCTTGTTTTCTGAGTCAAACATCGCACTAATTGGCCACTTAGCCAGTAGGGCGTAGTTTTGTTGGATAGGATCTACTATGCCCAGACCCCCTTCGTCCCTGTGAAAGCATACAGCTTCCCATGCCATTTTACTAATAAAGCCCTGCAGTTCAGACGGCGGTGGCTTCCACAAGAATCGTGCAGCTATATACTTAATTCTTCGGTACGCATCCTTGCTTGTTAGAGGGAACCAGAGGATGGAGAAGGCAGCCGACGAAATGACCATGGCTCTACCAAAAAGTGACAGTTTGAAGTTTCTAACCCAGCCCAGGATCCTTGCTGTGACCTTTTCCACAAGGACGGAGTCCTGGGTGTTTGAGCAATCCCGTAGTGCAATCTGGACCCCTAGGAATCTCTCGGAGCTGTTGGCTGGGATTTCTTTTTTTTTTTTTTTTTTTTTTTTGGGAAAACAGCCCGTTCATATGCTAGAGGTGCTGATAAGAGCAGACACCGCTAGCATAGTCGGGAAGGCTCCATCTATTGGTGGGGAGCAACACCTGCTGGAAATCGGGTCCAGCGTCCCTGTAAACAGCCATTCGTCATAAACCGTGCCACGTGTCACAGCGCAAAGCTCCTAGACCGTTAGTATGTGAACACGCAAGCACGCAGAATTCATAGCGAAGAGCAGCATTAATCGCCCTCTGCCCATCGCAATCATTGAGGCCCCAGTCAATACATAATTCAAAGGAGGAAGGGAGGATGTATGATGACTTCTCCCAATTGATCGAGGCTTCTGAGAGGATGCAGTACTTTTCTATGACTTCCTTCAGGGCACCCATAGAGGGTCTTGTGTTGGCGCATGCTATGGCGAGGTCGTCCGCGAGAGCCCCCTCTTTCCATTGAATAGAGTGGGGGATACTCCGACCCACTATCGCATCATTGATCCTAATGTTGGCCATCAGCACATCCAGTTGGACAACGAACATCAGCGGGGCTAGTGGGCAGCCTTGCCTTAAGGATCTTGTGAGTGGAAATTCTCTGGAGAGTTTGCCATTCACTAATACCATCGAAGAGGCCTCCCCGTACATTGCTTTCACCCATGTTATGAACCCCTCTCCCAAACCCATCCTTCTCAGTGTGGTAATGACGAATGCCCATCCTACCTTGTCGTATGCCTTCTCCATGTCCAAGAGAAGGATGACAATGTTCATTTGTTTTGACTCCAGAATTTCCAGGGCCTGCATTGTGGATATTATATTTTCGAATATTGACCGGCCTTTTACGAAGGCGCCTTGTTCGCTACCCACCAAGCCAGGAAGGAGGTCCGTCAGTCTAATGGCGAGTGCTTTGGCTAGGATCTTATACGCCACATTCAGCACCGAGATTGGTCTGTAATTTTGGACCTCTCTCTTGTCTCCTTTTTTTTAGAGTAAGGGTATGATCCCCTTCAACCACTCCTTGGGGAGGGCTTTCGAGGATAGGGCGTTGTTGTAAATTTGGCACAGAAACGGCGCAAAGGAATCCCATGTACATAGGAAGAGCTCAACCGGCAAACCATCAAGACCGGGACATTTCCCGCTAGCCATCTTCTTTGCTGCTTGATGGAGTTCCTGGTGAGTGAACGGAGCATCTAAGCCATGGCTGGCATTTGGGGGGATACCAACTCTAATTCCGTCCCAAAAGGGCGATGTGGCTGAGAGATCAGTATCCATCATGGTCTGAGGTCTCCTTGTGGAAACAATATCACTGAAGTACTCTAGCGCGTAATCACACATTGTTTCCAAGTCTAAGGAGACTGGGCACGACGCAAAAAATGGGTGGGAGAGCTCGTGGATCACCGGCTTAGCTTGGCTCAGAATGAGGGCTCTGAAAGTATCCCTGGTCATTCTGTCATAGCCAATCAGACCTCTTACCTTGAGCCACTGCAGCCAGTCCTCCAGTTTCTTGATCTCCATAGCTTCCAACAGAACTATGTTATCGGATCGTTGATTAGCCCAGTAGTGGTCTGAGAACACATCTTTATCCATATTATGTTCTGCCTCAGCTATTTTTCTACGGATTTGGATTTCGGACCAGGTTCGGTTTGCAGCTTTCATTCTGGAGAAAGTCTTTAAAGCTGAGAAGATGATATTAATTCTCGTTTCCGCCCAATCATGTTCGTTTTGGAAGAGGTCCTTTGCTAACGTCCATTTAGACATTTGATCCTTGACCGGCCTGGGTCCTTGAGGAGACTAGTGTTGAGGCGAAACGACGGTCTCACCCTCTCAAACTGATCCTTGGATAGAACCTCCATCCCCACCGGGTAGTGGTTAGATAGGTGTTCGTTCATTAAGTCACCCCATATGCACCTGTCCCACAACACCCCCCTTGCTAGCAGGAAGTCCAGTCCCGTGCTTGGACTCAGAGGGATTACTTGGGCTGCAGGCTTGGGGTCGTACCACGTATGCCCTGGTGTCTCCGGATGCAGGGTCCTGAATACGTCGATCAGCCCTTGTGCTTCCATAAAATAGGATAGCATATGTGCATCATTCCTGATAGGGGTTGGGATAGTGGAGTCCAGACCCGGGTTTAATGTGGTGTTCCAATCCCCCACGATGACGAAGTTTTCCACATCCAGTAGATACGCTGGGAGAGCTGCAAAAAAATTGGATCTTTCTGTGTATTCTACCGGGGCGTATACTGACATGACTGCCCAGTCTTCCTCCCCTACCGCCAATTTTACCCAGATCCAACGTCCATTCGGGTCATAGAAGGTGTCAATGACCTGAGTGTCCAGATCTTTGTGTAAGAGTATGGCTACTCCTCCCTTAGTTCCAACCGCCGGGGCGCAGAACTTAGGGTCCGCCCACCAGTTCTGCAGGCTCTCAATTTTGGCCTCATTAAGTTTAGTTTCCTGTATACATACTATATGTGGGTAGTCCTTTCTAGCCCAGACTTTGAACCTTTCTTTTTTAAAACGGTTGGAGGTGTTTCCCAACCCACGTAAATTTCAGCTCACTATCTTAATCCTGTTTGGCAGGACCATCTGAGTGGTCGGTGCCGCTCTGGAATTGGATGCGGGCTGAGAGAACAGTGAGGGGGGTTGGGATGAGGATCTGCAAAGAGATGAAATGTTGCAGGTAACTCAGAAGTTCACCCACCAGCAACTGGTCCTGTATTTTGGACTTGATGATCCACTCTGCTATATGGTTTGCCGCTAGATCAGGTCTAATTTGGATGTGTGAGAATGTCAAGGAAGCAGCAGCTAGAAGGGGGACCAGCCCCATCCATTTGAAGTCATGTGCATACATCTGGTCCTGTGTTGTTTTCCAAGAAGCCAACTTCACCACCGCTACGTGCAATATAATTATTTCCTTATCATTCAGCGATACTGTCTGGTGTCCCATTTTCCATGATGGGAGGGAATTAACTTCCACCCTGTCAGCGAGGATCTTGTTCTTTATTAATTCCACAGCCTGGGCATCTGCGGGCTGAGTATTGACTTCCATGAAAGGAAGTCTCTGGGATCCGTCAGTCTCTTGAATGCACAGGATGCCTGCTGCTGAAGATACTTTAAAACAAATCAGGGGGACTAGCAGTTCCGTGATTTTCTTCCTTTCTCTGTCCTTGCGCGACAGAGTTTTCATGAGTAGAGCAAGGCTCAGTGCTTTTTTCCCCTGTTCCTATGAAAAGGGTCTTTTTTTCCTTTTTGGGGACGTCGCCTGTTCTGAGGCCTCCTCCAGGCTGGGGCTGGCACGTGGGACTGCTGACTCGTCATTTGCCTTTAGCCGTTTCGATGAAACTCCCTTCACCAATGGCCCCAGGGGTGGCCCTAGCGGGTTTGGGAGCTTGTTCCCTGACGACCCTTTTTTCTTCTTACGCGTCTGAGTTCTTTTTGAGTCAGCTTTAGCATTGAACACAAGTGCTGCATGAGGGGGGGATGAGTCTCCTCCCTCCTGTCCCGATCTCTTCGAGGGGGACTTTCCCTTCTCTTCCGTGGTCCCCTCGTTATTCGACAATGGTGAGGACAATATCCTCTTGCTGGGACTCGCTTCTTCCGCTGGGGACGGGAAGCCCATTCTGGCTTCATCCAGTCCAAGATCCAGCTGATCTAAGTTGACATGGGGGGGGGGGGATGAGGTCTGGGGGAGGGTGTATTGGTTTCAGCGCGGAGGGGGGAGTAGTCTGAGACGAGGAGATGTCCATGTTCAGCGAGCCCTGACTTCCAGTTGGCTGGTTGTCCACTGGGTTCCTATCGTCCAACTTCCCTTTCTCTTCTCCCAAGCCCGACCCCTCCTCCTTCCCCTTTTATCCATCCCATTCCTTCATTTTTGAGGAGTCGTTGAAGGATGGGGGGGGCACTGAGTTTAGGCCCGATGCCCCTTTCACCTTTCACCAGAATTTCATTTTTCTTTTTTGCTTAGTGAAAGTTTTTTTTTAAAAACGGATTTTCCTTACTTGCTCCTCCTTATCTGTGATATCAGAGGCAATGGGTATCATCTGTCCCCTCTTCCTGTTCGCTGTGAGCTTG